CTCTGAAACTTTTTTTTTTTCTCGTAAAAGGAGAGAGAAAGACAAAAAAATCCCCTGATCGAGGAGCTGATGCATCGACAGGGTCGGAGTGTATCCGCCCGCCGAAATCCCGAAATGCTGTAGAAGTATCGTAGTACCAGCAAAGGAAACGTCAAACTGCCAACTGGACCCAGCCGAGCCGAATCCGATGATGACCCAAGCCACGACACGCGCTCTCTCACATCCCGGCGACCCAGCTATTATTCCCTTTCCCTACTCTCACGCCCTCCTCATGCGTCCCGGCGCGTCATCGCCGAACCCAATCCCCACACCACCCCTCTTTTACTATCTTCCAATCCCTAAAAAATCCAATCGCCAAAATCCGATACCACCACGACCTACCCTCCGATGATGGGCGACCTCACCGACCCCTCCACCACCACTCCTTCCTCTGCCACCCCTAATTCCCGTCCATTGCCTGTCCGTGAAGACTGCTGGTCGGAAGAGGCCACTTCCACCCTCGTTGACGCCTGGGGCCGCCGGTATCTCGAGCTCAACCGCGGCAACCTTCGTCAGAAGGACTGGCAAGATGTTGCTGATGTGGTCAACGCCCTCCATGGCCATACCAAGAAGACGCACCGCACGGATGTTCAGTGCAAGAATCGGATCGATACCATTAAGAAGAAGTACAAGATGGAGAAGGCTCGGTTCGCCTCCTCTAACGGAACCTTAACGTCGTCGTGGCCGTTCTTTGACCGTATGGATTCTCTGATTGGATCTAACTATGGCCCGAAGAAACCGTCGCCGTCTCGGAAGCTCTCCCCGAAACCGTCGCCGAGATTGTCACCGAGGATTCCTGGGTCGCCCCCTGTGGCGCTGCCGCTCCCGCTGCCGTACAGGAGGACGCCGACGTCTGCAGCCGTGGTTACTCTGCCCCAGAAGAGGGGACTGGCGTCCGTGGACGATGGGTATTTTAGAAGAAATTATTCTGCACTTGCTGCAGCTGCTGCAGCAGCAGAGAGTGAAGAGGAGGAAGGAGGTGAGAGCGAGGGGGACCAAATTGATCAAGGCGAAGGGGAAGAAAAGGATGGGATGAGGAAATTGGCGAAAGTGATAGAGAGGTTTGGAGAGGTGTATGAAAGGATAGAAGGGGAGAAGCTGAGACAGATGGTAGAATTGGAGAAGCAGAGGATGCAGTTTTCTAAGGATTTGGAGGTCCAGAGGATGAGGATGTTCATGGACACACAGGTGCAGCTGGAGAGGATCAAGCGGGGGAAACGCTCGGGGTCAAGTGGTGAGGCCAATTATTCATGATGGCTTTTATCTTTTATTTAATATTGTTTATATACGGGTTTTTTTTTTTTTTTTGGGTACAAGAGTGTACAATTGATCAAATCAAGCTTCCTATTGGTTCTGCATGCCATTGTTGATTTAAAGACCTTATTTTTTTCATTTGTTTAGGATCCTTAGTTAATTTATTAGTCTGTTCTGTGGGGGTACAAAGGCTTGCGTTGGGCGATCCTATTGTTTCTGTTTTCATGGATATTCATTGTTCATAAATATTAAATCATGTTTAAAATTTTGTATTTGGCCAGATGGAATTTCACCCCTCGGGTAAATTTGTTTATGAAATTGAAGGGCATTAATTTTAGTGCATTTAGTAACACTAACTCTTTATGTTCTAGTTTCAAACTTATTGTGAGTGATTGCAATTAAATCATTTTGAGTTAAAAGACTTAATGCAATTTCCAAAGCTGTCATTACAAACTTTGTTTCTTGGGAGTTGATGGTTAGATAATTTTCAATTACTCAGGAATTAGTTTTTAAATTGTTCAATTTGGTCAGTGATTGTTCCTCAGTTTTACGCTTCTGTTCTGTCTTGATATTTTACACCCCTTTGGAGGTTTTAGATGATAATATCCAAGATAGTACTGAGTTTGCTTTGTGGATTTGTTTACTTGACAGATTTTCACTTAAAAGATTGATGATCAGGATAAGGTGCTGGAAATTGTTAATAAAGGTGTTTTAGGATGATGTTTGACATCTTTTATGTTGTTATTATACAAATGTGCAATTCCTCTTCATGGATGAGCCAATTTGGGAGGATTATGATCCCCTAGCTCAAGTGATAGGAGCTGAATTCTAGTTTTTAAGATGTTCTGTATATGGGAAGTGTAGTATAGAGAACCATAAAACAATTTTGTGGGTCAAACAGAAGGTTAAGTAGACTTGGCTAGATCAAGACAGCCTATTGGAATGAATTGGTGGGTTAAGCCACAAGTCACACTTTGGATTCTACTATTCTTGTTGGAGGTGGAATGTGTGGTAGTTTGTGGGATGTCCCTGAAGACTGATCAGGTACAGGGTTGTGTGAAATTTCCTTTGTATCTGACATTCTGACCTGATTTGTCTTTGTGCTGTGTCAGCAGAAAATGCGTGATTCTCTATTGTTTGTCTGCTCCTAAGCCTTGTAGGCAGTTTAAGCAATCATGTAACGATGCATTGCCGTAAATGCTAAAATATGTGGGAAGAATTTGAAATGTCTTGAGAATGTAGAATATACTTTGTAATAGTAACACAACATTCACTTCATACAGCCTTTTTGTGGTTTATAATTGTCAGCATTCCCTACTTAACCAAAAAAGGAAAAAGAAGAGAACCAGTGATAACTACAAATATAATCTGTTATTATTATTGGATATCAAAATCTACATTTTATGCATTGTAGATATCATATAAAACTTACCTTCTATCAGAAGGGTTTAGTTGATCTTTTAAAAAACAAGTGAACTGATACATGATAGAACATGGTCATCACTCATTAGATATTTGGCATTATCTGATTGCATATAATTGTGAGTAATCTGGCACTATCTGATGAACCTTTCTGTTCCTATACTGCTGTGTGTTCTGCCTTGAAGTCTCTCCATTTTATGATGACCAACAAACAAAAACGTTATTTGGTTGTGGTTTGTCCTTGCTGCTTTTCCGACATCTTATTGTACAGGACTGTTAATGTTCTCATTTATAAATTGCTGGTAGAAGCTGCACTTCTTGATGGGTTTATATGACTGTTTAGAGACTCATAATTTTTTGGTTGATCTGTTTGATGATTATTTGCTAATTGTTATGGAAAATTTTAGACAGTGATTATCAGTTCAATTGTTCCTTTGGGTTCAGTAAATTCAATACCAATATTTATTGCTTATTTCTGAAGCAAATTCCATAAAAAGGCACAAATGCTTCTTTTTCTTTCAGTTCTGTAGTTTTGTTTGTTTGTTTTATGTTTTATTTTTTACTTTTAAGTTCTGATGTCCGTCTTCTTTCTCACAGATATTTATAGCTAACTATGGGGGAGAGCTTCAACTGTTTTTTTTGGGTGGCAAGAACGTGAAGAATATTGAATTTATATACTTCCCTTAAAGTACAAATAGTTCCAGTTGATTCTGCCCTTGAAATTACATGAAGTTGGCAGATAACATGCCAGAGTTCAAAATTGCTTCCGCATTCCCGTTCCCCCTTTTTTCTGAGGGGGAAAAATAGAACTCAATGTATAACTTAAATCAGCTCAGGGCTTAATCTGGCTCAACTCTTATGTTCAGTAATGAGACTCTCCCCAACTCGGATTAGATTTTGCAAGTCTTATTTTTCTTGCAATGTTAATGTATAAGATTAGTTGTGTTCCAAACTTCATTCCCATTTCCCAGCTAAATTTATGATCTATAGTTTGCTAGACAATTTCCAGATTCATTTGCCTCTTTATCCCCGAGGACACGAAGTGAAAGACGACAAAGTGTTGTTGGAATTATAAGCCAGCCCTGCTCTGCCCATCAGAGATCATTCTATCCTAGCTAGATAATATTTTATCTGCTGTCTAATTTCGAGATAAAACACGCTGATAGTGATGAATAAGTCTTCCGATATATGGACCAGTTTGTGTCCTCATTTTAAGGCCCGATATCTGGATGAAAAGATCATACAGTCTAACCAATCGAGCTACAAGTTTTGGTCATTCCAGGTGACAACCATTTTACATAAGAGCCAGTACAAGTGCACAACATAACTAATCATTCAGAAAATGAAGATGGAGTGGGCTTTGATAATCTCGCTTCCCATTTGCCAAGTAGATTATTCTAAACTCACGAGAGAACCAATATGCATTCTTCATGCTCTAAAGAAGTGACAGAACTGAACATAATAGTGTTGCTCTACGCTCCTAAAACAAAGTTATAACTTACAGTGCGGTTATAAAATTCTTTATAGTCTACAATGAAAAAGGAGGACGGAGACCAGCTTTGCTGCAACAATTTTATTAAGAACTCCCATTGGCATGGGCAGAGGATTGAGCTTCAAAGCAGTGGTACAGCTTCAAATAACAGTTTGGCTGATCACTTATATACCCTTCCCATCCAATTTTCATGCCGATGACCCTGCAAGGAAACATTGAATGGTACAGAAAAAATTCAGTTCTGGTATACATTTCAATAATCATTCAAGTCTGTGTTGAAGAAATTAACGAAATGAGAACATATGATAATTTCAAGATATTATGTTCTTTATTCTAAATAACAAGATACGATGCATGCATGTCATTATTTCAAGATTGTGGTTAAATAACACGGTGATTATGATGCAATATTGAAAATTTTCTGCAAAAACTAGTTGCTATATGTACAGAAAACACACAAATTATATATATGTACATATGCTTGGGGAAGGAACCTGACATATATATCAGTTAAGCAGGAATCTAGAACCACTGAACTTCAATAGATGGCCTCGACAGAGGTTTTAAGAGCTTTGGACTTCCGAGTTGAGGCACCGAAGCAGCAAGCAATTTGCCATCTCTTATATGAGGTTAAAATGTACGTCTTAGCCATGCCCTACTGATAACAGCGTATGCATAAGTGCAATTTTGAGTTGTAATATGCCATGCATCTGTCTTCTGTAAGTGCTTACCAAAGGTCCAACGATTGCTTATTTATTTATTTATTTTTAATTTTTTGACCAGCCAAAACAAAATAGATTTTATTAATAATGTAGAGTACAAGGATACTCCTCCTACGCTAATTAAAATTACAAAAACACTCACTCAAACAAAGCCCAAAACACATATTATAATAAAATCTAATTAAATAATAAAAAAATATTATGTAATTCAAATTATACAACATTAATTATTAGATAGAGATGCACCCCAATCTAATATTTTCTATTTTATAATTTAAACGATAAAATGAAAAAGTCCTAAATAATCTCTACTTGTTTTTTTGTTTTCCTAGTCCTAGCTATATATATTCTCTTCAACAGACAACAATATATTTGTAATTCCATATTATTAATATTAAAAACTAAACTATGTCTTATCATGAGATATTGTTCACTTTATCCATAGCCTTTTAAAGTTTTGTTCCTAAAATAAAGGGCTCTCGTAAGGAGTTGACCGATTAAGCCATAACTATTCTTGATACATTTGTCAACACAGGATTCTAAACTCATTCCACCATTACACCACATGCATTAAAATAGTTTTATATATTTGATTGAAAAAAGATATTGTTCCTCCTGATGGAGAATTGTTTAATTTGAAAAACAACCCTAGCTAGAACTGGGGTGAATCAAAGACACATTACTCAAAATGGGAAGTATAGGGTTTAAATTGCACAAACCAAAACTTAATTATATACGTAGAACTTAAGAAATTAGATCCATAAAAGAGAAGCTAATTAATTATCCTAAAATCAATAAAAAGTGGAATCTAGGCCCTCTAGGCCTAAGCAACACTTATTCATTAGATTAATTTTAAAAAACCAAACAAATTATCTAACAAATTAGCACTTATGGAAAATGAACAAATTATTTATAATTCAGTCCCACTTGCTAATTAGGTGGGAAAATCTTACATTGATGATTAAAAGAAAAAATTAATTAGTAGTTTACACCATGATGGTATATGTTTATGAATTAAAAAATAATTGATATATCTTTCAATTTGACACACTTTTTAATATCTATTCAATTTAGTTATTAAAATATAATATAAATACAACAAATTCTTATATGTTATATGTATAGTTGTAACTTTAAATTTACTTATCTCAAACAAAAAAATAATACTGATTTTTTATAAATGTGTTGTGTAATATATTGAACTGGATGATTAATTAATTAGTGTTCTTATGAAATATTACACAATTACCTAGATATATATGCGTATGAATATATGAAAATGCATATATAAAAGACATCATTAACTAGTTTAAATTCCACGTTAAGTGTTGAAGACTGTAAAATTTGACATGCAACGTATGGTATATCACACATGGCCAGTCATGGGGAGCACAAAATCAGCACAGAATCACAAAAGAGCCAAAACACAGTGGAAAAGTATACAAATCCCCACATATTATAATTCATAAACTACAAAAACCCGCTGTTTTTGCATGATGATATATATATGAGAGAGATCTACTTCCCCAACCTCAATCATCCACAGTAACATCTCCACCTCCAAAATCCCCTACTCCACACTTCAACTCCTTACACACAGAATTGGGGTTTTGCAGTCTAAGTTTAGGGTTCAACAAGTAAAACATGTAATCTTTAATTACTACGTATGACAATATTAATTAACTCAACTTAATTCTTTCAGGAAATTGACATGATCTGAATGAATATATGTCTTTCTTTCAATTTTCTCTACTCGCCACCTCTTGTTTGGTTTCTTAAACATGTTTACCATATATACAGATGAAGGTGAACTTCAAATCTTCAATCTGAAAACTGAAAGATAGAGTAATAAAAGAGGAAAACAAGAATCATTTAGGTCACGCATATATATATGAGAAAATTTTACCATTTTTTTGAAGAAGAGAATGCATTTGAGGGTTCTGATTCGATGTCTTTGCTTGGTCCTTGGATTTGATTTGGTTCTTCTTCTTTTTCTTCTTATACGGAATCCCTCTAGCCTTGGCTTGACACTCCCTCACTTCTCTCAAATAAACTCGAATTGCTCCATTACCAAAAGGGTTAGTCTGCGGAGACCCTCCGTGCTCCTCATAAGCTGCTCGCAGCCGTCCGATCAGTGCATCAAGACTTCCCCAAGCTTGCCTTAACGGACAAGTACACGAAGCAGGAGGGTCAGGTTGTCCGAAAAACACACACCCATGTAGATGAACCTTTGTCTTCCCGAACTGATCCAGGTACCTAAGAAAATCCAGCACATGGTTGCAGTTACACTGGGATAGCATCACAGGAGGCCTCTGGTTCTTCAAATACTGCCCAAACGTGTTCCAGTCCCGGCGTTTCTGGGACTCATAGCGGCTCAACTGCGGAGGGGGACGGTGGTTGCTGGAGGAGGATGATTCCGGGACAGAATCTTTTGGCATACCACCTGACATTATTGGGAGAGGAAATTCCTGGGTATTTTGGGAAGAAATGGGAAGAGGGCAGAGCAGGTGGAAAATAAAGGGGGAAGGAAGAAAAGATGACAATCACATCGCATTGTTTTGTTTGTCTTAGTGAGGAGACATCGCATGGGCCCAATAGGAAGGTGCTGCTTGCTTTTTCTCTGCTTCTTTTTCTCGTTGACACTATTTGCACCATCTTATATTTTTTTTATTATTTTAATCCATGATTAATTGTTTGCCATCATCTAAACAATCATTCTCATCATTTTCATTTTGAATTGATCAACTTAATTAAGATTCGGTTTAACCTGCCTTGCTTACACTAGGGAAAATTAACTTTGTGTATGAATATATGTAACATGTTTAATATATTTTAAAGAGAGTTAGTGGGGTTAATTTAATTGGACTCAATTTGGGTTAAGTCATTGGCTAGAATATATATATATCTAGAAGAAGCTGGTAATTCTGCTGGAAAGAATCCAAATAAAGTGTTTTGGCAGAGTTTTATAGGTTGCTTGTAAATGCTTTTTCCATTCTCCTGAGTTCAAAAGTGTTTTAGAGGGAAAACTGAAAAGTTGATTTTTAGTATTTAAATTATCTACGTATAAGCAAGTTTAGAAAAAAAAAAAAAAACTTATGAGGGAAAAAAGAACTTATAAGTAAATTGAAAGTAATACCTATGCCAAACGGGTCTTAATCTATGGGCAAAGTTTTTATATATATTGG